GCACTCCAGTCTGGGTGACAGAGTGAGACTCTAACTCAAAAAAAAAAAAAAAGAAAAGCAGTGAGGCGGAAATGAGCACAGATTGAGAGCAAACAAAATTGGCTGTATAATAATTGCTAAAGTGTAGTGATGAGTGCATAGAGATTAATCATACTGTTCTACTTTTCTGTTTGTTTGAGGTTTTCCATAATAAAAAGGAGGGGGGAGGTAATACTATTATGTGGATGAAGTTAATACTTTCTCAAAGTATCTGCTTCTTAAATGTGCTCTAATTTGTAGGTTTTGGGGTTTTTTTTAAGATTGTACTTATCAGTTTCCCAGTAATTATAGTCTTCATTTCTGACCTGGAATTCTTCATTTTTTCATTGCTTAGAATTGGAGAAAGAAATTGAAGAACTCAAATCAAAACCTATTGCTGGAGAAGCTGATGATATTATTAAGGTAATAAAACAGTTGTCAGTATTGCTTTAATTTTTCTTTACCTGGAAGAAATGTCTAATGGTAAATATAATTTTCTTAAGTATTGTCAGCCTGCTAGAGGCTACCTGGTGGCTTTCTGTCCCTATTCTGCCATTTCCTCTCTGACCTTAGATATTTTTTACCTCTGATTCACCATAGAGTTAATGACATCTAGGTCCCTTTCTGTTCTGGAATGATTTTTCTCTCTCTTCTTCGCACATACTCTAATTATTGCTGTTAGCTCATTCTCTGCATTGCTCTTTCCCACCCCCCTCAGAAAACTTGACCATACCTAGGACTTCAGCGATTTATGGAGCCTGTATATAATCTGTAGACAGAGCTATATCCCTAGACATGACTACTAACCCAGATCCCACCGTTGTGTTTCTAGCTGCCTGGGTAAAAAATGCTTCACACATTTCGCTATCGTCACCTCAGACTCAACATGACCAAATTCCCTCCCCTGATTGGGTCAGTGGCACCACAGTTTTTCCTGCCTTGGACTTCAGAGACCCTTTAACTTACCTAATTCCTTTATCTTCTACGTGTGTCCATCACCAGAAACTTGTTACTGCTTTAAGATATCATTCCAGTTTGTCTTTTTCCCCTCCATTTGTGTGGCTCTATGTTAAATGCTTCATGTTGTACTTGACCTACTTTAATAATCAACTAACTGGGCTCTCCTTCTCTTTTTAGTCTTACATTCTCCTGCCAAATTGCAAAACACTGGGTTTTGTTGTTGTTGTTGTTGTTGTTTTTATAACTTGGAGACTGCCAAGACTATGGACAATTATTTCTCCCCAGATACTTTTTTTTTCTGAGTTGAGTGGAGTCTCACTGTCTCTCAGGCTGGAGTACAGTAGCATGATCATAGCTCACCACAATCTTGACCTCCTGGGTTTAGGCGGTCCTTCTGCCTTAGCCTCCCAAGTAGCTGGAACTATAGGCACGCACCACCACACCCAGCTAATTTTTAAATTTTTTTCTGTAGAGATGAGGTCTTACTATGTTGCCTAGGCTGGTCCGGAATTCCTAGGTTCAAGGACTCCTTCCATCTTTGCCTCCTAAAGTGCTGGGATTACAGGCATGAGCCACCACACTTGGCCCACAATACTGATTTATTCCCTGTTTCAAAACCCAAGTTGTGTGTTCTTACTTCCATTTACTAAATGCTAACTAAAATACTTTTTCATTCTCCCACATAGCTTAAGCTTCCTTAAAGTTTCTTTTGCTTCACAAAGCTCTGTAATAGTGTTTTTCACTGCTTTTGCATAATATTCTTTGACTATATATTATCTTATTTTCTTGTTAGGAGACTCCCAACTTGTGAGTGGTGGACTACTTAGGGACTCCAAGAGTTACTAAAAGGGTCTTTAAATCTATATACTTATCACACATTTTTCATTTTATTCTTTATTTAGCTAAAACAATACATGAGGCTTGAATGATGTGCACAAATGCTATTTCAATTCATAATGTACTGTCATTTCTGTATTACTGAGTTCAGTAGTTTTGTTTTTACATTTTGCTATGGTATGTTTCCTTCATCCATCGTTGTTAAAATACAACCAGGTGGTAGTTAAGGAAGAGTGCTGACTCCAGCCAGATTACCTGGGTCAGGCCTTCATATCCTTGCTTCTTTACTGACAAGACCTTGTCTGAGTTTCTTAACTTTTTTCTCTGTAACTCAGTTTTCATCTGTAGACTAGAGATAATAATAATACTTTCTATTTGTACGGTTGATGTATTCGGTGAGTTATTACACATGCAGCACTTAGAACTGAGTTGATCACATAAGTGTCAATAATTATTAGTTCTTATCGTTATTACCATGTATTATTTTGGGAGAATATTTTTTATATATACACATATACAAGGTCACACACTAAAAGGAGGCCTCTATATTTTAAAAAGTAACTATAGAGTCTGTTCTAATTTTTTATCAGTTACCTCTAAACTCAAAATACTTTTTGTAAAATTGCATTTCGGGATAAGAACATCTAAATATCTATCCCGTTTCTCCACTCTGCCAAAACTACTCCTAAAGACAAGACTAGAAAATGCCTTCAAGTTAGCCAACTTTACCTTTCAGATTATTATTTTTTTATTTTTTTTATTTTTATTTTCTTTGAGTTGGAGTCTCACTCTGTTGCCCAGACTAGAGTGCAGTGACCGCTTCCGGCCACCGCAGCCTCGACCCGCTGGGCTCCGGCGATCCTTCTGCTCAGCCTTCCGAGTAGCCGGAATTACAGGCGCACGCTACCACGCCCGGCTAATTTTTTTCTTGATTTATTATAGAGACTCGCCTGCCCAGGCGGGTCTCGAACCCACGGGCTCAGGCAATCCACTCACCTCAGCCTCCCAAAGGCGCGGGATTACAGGCTGAGCCACCGAGCCCAGCTTATTTTTTTATTTTTTGGTGCATTATGTTTGTAGATATTTTGGGGGTACATGTGAATTTTTTTTTTTTTTTTTTGCCCCTCCTTTTCCTCCCCTGCATGTGAATATTATTACGTGCTTAGAATGTGTAATATCAAGTCAGGGTATTTAGGGAACCCATCACTCACCCAAGTATGTGTCATATCTATGTGTTGGATACATTTCAGTTCTTCTGACTATTTTGAAAAATACATATTGTTATCTGTGGTTACCCTACTCTGCTATCAAACATCAGAACTTGTTTTTTCAATCTAACTTTATGTTTGTACTCATTAGCCAATCTGTCTTCCTCTCCCTCCTGCTACCCAAACACCCTTCCCAGTCTGGTGTCTACCTCCTTGTGATCAATTTTTTTAACTCCTGCATGTGACTGAGATCATTCAATGTTTGTCTTTCTCTCTCTGGCTTATTTCACTTAACATAATGACCTCCATTTCCATCCACGTAGCTGCAAATTACATGAGTTTATTCTTTTTTATGACCGTATAGTTTTCCATTGTGTATATATACCGCATTTTCTTTACCCATTCCTTCATTGACAGGCACTTAGGTTGATTTCATGTCTTTGCTATTGTGAATAGTGCTGCAATTACGTGGGAGTGCCTGTATTCCCTTGATATTTTGACTTATTTTGGATAAATACGCAGTAGTGGAAATGCTGAGAAATCTCCGTAATATTTTCCATTGCCTATACTAATTTACAATTACCAACAGTGTAGAAGAGTTCCCTTTTCTCCACATCTTACCAATATTTGTTACTTTTTTCTTATAATAATAGCCATTCTAACTGTGGTAAGATTATACATCGTTGTGGTTTTGACTTGCTTGTCCCTGATGATTAGTGATGTTGACATTTTTCATATACATGTTGGCCATTTGTATGTCTTCTTTTGAGAAATATCTACTCATGTTCTTTGCCCATTTTTGTATTTTCTTTTAATGTTATTTGAGTTAGTTGTATATTCTGGATATTAGGTGTGTGTTGAATGAGTAGATTGCAAGTATTTTCTTTCAAGCAAGAGGCTATGTCTTTACTGTGTATATTGTTTATTTTGCTATGAGTTGAATATCATCCTGCTTGTCTATTTGTATTTTTGTTGCTTGTGCTCTTGAGGTTTAGCCATACAAATCTTTGCCTAGGCCAGTGTCCTATAGAGTTGTTTCCATGTTTTCTTCTAGTAATTTTATGGTGTGAGGTCTTACATTTAAGTCTTTAATCCATCTGGAGTCAATTTTTGTATATGGTGGGACATAGGGGTCCAGTTTCATTCTTCTGCATATAGTTACTCAGTTTTTCCAGCATTGTTTGTTGAAGATGGTGTCCTGTCCTCAATGTATGGTCTTGACAGCTTTGTTTTTGGTTTTTGTGGTTTTGGTTTTTTTGGTGTTTTTTTGTTTTTGTTTTTGTTTTGAGTTGGAGTCTCACTGTCGCCCAGTCTGGAGTGCAGTGTCACGCCCCCAGCCACCGCATCCTCTACCTGCTAGGCTCCGGCGATCCTTCTGCCTCAGCCTTCCAAGTAGCCGGAACTACAGGCGCATGCTACCACGCCCAGCTAATTTTTGATTTATTGTGGAGATGAGGTCTCACCAAGATGCCCAGGCCGATCTCAAACCCATGGGCTCAGGCAGTCCACTTGCCTCAGCCTCCCAAAGTGCTGGGATTACAGACTAAGCCACCAAGTTCAGCCTTTGGTTTTTTTTTAGCAGGAGTCTCACTCTGTCACCGAGGCTGGAGTGCAGTGGCGCACTTACAGCCACCTCAGTCTCGACCTGCTGATTTCAGGCGATCCTTCCGCCCCAGCCTCCTGAATAGTTTGAACTACAGGCATGCACCACCACACTTGGCTAATTTTTGGATTTACTGTAGAGATGAGGCCTCGCCAGCTTGCCCAGGCTGGTCTCGAATCCCTGGGCTCAGGCAATCCTCTAGCCTTTGCCTCTCAAAGTACTGGGATCACAGGCGTGAGCCCCTGTGCCCAGCATTTTTGTTTGTTTTTGTGTGTGTGTAACAGCTTTGTTGAAGGACAGTTGACTGTAATTGTGTGGATTTATTGCTGAATTTTCTGTTTCATTGGTCTATATTTATTACAGTAACCTACTGTTCCAATTAATAATGCTTTCTAATATAATTTGAAGTTAGGAAATGTGATGCCTGCAGCTATGTGTGTGTGTGTGTGTGTGTGTGTGTGTGTGTGTGTGTGTGTGTGTGTGTGTGAGAGTTTGCTCAGGATTGCATTGGCTATTCTGACTCTTTGTTGGTTGCATACAAATTTTAAGATTATTTTTTCTGTTTCTGTGAAAATAATGTTGGTATTTTGATAGGGATTTTATTGAATCTGTAGATTGCTTTGTGCAGTATTTAACAGTATTCTTCCAATCTGTGAGCGTGGGATGTCCTTTTATTTGATTGTGTCCTCTTCGATTTTTTTACATCAGTGTTTTATAGTTTTCCTTGTAGAGCTCTTTGATTTCTTTGGTTAAATTTATTCCTTGATTTGTTTGCTCTTGTGTTTTTTTGTAGCTATTTTTTGGTGTTTTTTTTT